TGGAGAGCAGGACCACTTACAGGGGGTCCTTATCAATGAGAAGATGAGTCAGCAGTGCCCTGGCAGCCAGGAGGGCCAACCCTGTCCTGGGGGGCATCAGGCACAGCATCACCAGCCAGGCAAGGGAGGGGATTGTCCTGCTCTGCTCTGAGCTGGGGCAGCCTCACCTCAAGTCCTGTGCGCAGTTTTGGGCACGACCATTTGAGAAAGACAGAAAGATTAGATAGAAAGGGAGTGTCCAAAGAAGGGCTACAAATACGGTGAAGGGTCTGAAGGGAAAGCCTTATGAGGAGGTCACTTGGCTTGTTCAGCCTGGAGAAGAGAAGACTGAGGGGGCACCTCTTTGTGCTCTTCAACACCCTCACAAGGGCAAGCGGAGGGGCAGACACCAATCTCTTTTCTCTGATGACCAGTGACAGCACCCGAGGGAATGGACTGAAGCTGTGTCAGGGGGGTTTACATTGGATTCTAGGAAAAGGTTTTTCATCCAAAGGAAGAAGCTTTTGGACAATGTTGTTGAGCACACAGTGTGATTCTTGGGGCTGTCCTGTGCAGGGCCAGGAGCTGGACTCAGTGATATTTGTGGGTCCCTTCCAATTCAGGATATTCTATGATTCTATAATTTTTATAAAATTAAAACACTGAATCTTTCTTCTTCAATATTTTCCTCTTCTTGAAGAAGAGCTTTTTGAATCTGTGACCTGTTTCCCATCACCTGTGCTTCCTCATATTGGCCAGTAATTGTATTGCCTGTACTGTAAGTCAAAGGACTTTGTGAATTGCTCACATTTTCTCCTCTCATGATCTGCATCTGCCCACCCAGTTCCCAGGAGCACACACACAGCAAAGCATGTTGTGCAAAAGGGACCAAGTGGAGGAAACAGCTGTAATAAGTAGAAAAGAGAACTTACTGTGGAAGGAAAAGATGAAGCATGTCAGGGCCTTGGCACTGCATCTTGAGATGAATCTTAGCTCCCACAATTTCTCATCAGCTGCAGATGAGATGTTCCTATAACAGGAGGGAAAGGGAAGGGAAACTCACAGTGTCCCAAAGCCCCCCAAAACCTAAGAAACCAAGTATTATAATACTTGGCTAAATAGTAATGAAATGTTAGTACAGATGTTAGATGTAAATTTCAATATAGATGTTATGTATAGTTATATAGATCTATATACATATATTTAGTAATCTATATATGCAATATAAATGTTGTCAAAGATTTAAACTACAACCCCCATGACTAACAGACAACTGAAGGGAATAAATCCAGATCTCAAACATGCAATTATTCCATGCCAGACAGCAGTATATATTTGTTAGCACACTATCAAAGTATTCTGAGTGCTGTAGCAGCCACTTTTCTTCAGAAAAAAGAGTTCCAGACATGATGTGAGAAAAAAATTCATTTTAGCAGGTTTCATTCTTTGAAAGAGTTGGGGGACTCTAATCTCTAATGTTTCTAAATTGGCTAAGACATAAAAAGCAGCTTCCACTTTTTTAACTATTTAAATTTAAAAAAAATATATTCCCAAAGAAAATTATTTTAAGCCATTCTCAAATCAGCAGAGCATTCTACATAAAATCTGAGCTACTGGTACACTGCATGAGCCATACAGTAACAAGTTAATTACTGAACAAACTACACCTTTGAAGGATGATTACAACTGAGGCCCTGAGCATGCACAGAGAAAGATCCTATAATCTGAAATTATCTTGATTGGGAAAAACAGCGGAGAAGTTGCTTTTCTCCTAATGTTGTGGAGGTAAACTGTTGTACTGAGGCAGGAATACACTGTGACAGGGAAATTGAAAAAAAAAAAAAAGCTAGTGAAGGCTCTCTCTGGAATGTCAATATCTGGGTTTTGAAAACATGGCACTCACATTCATAGTCATTATCATATAAGTAATAAAAAATTCATTATCCTAGTTCTGAGATATATGTATTTTAATATAATTCTAAAAGAATGTAAAAGGTTGAATAACAAAATCATCACAGCTGTGACTGCGTGAATCCACAGATGACAAATTCACAATTCTGGGCATCATCTGATTTTCTTAAGTGAGGGCATGTGAAAAAAAATACCCAATTGTTGGGCTGGGTTGAGGGAACTGAGGGAATAAACACTGCTAGAATAATTGCCTGTTGACATATTGAAAGGCATGTACATGTTTGCCAAGGCAGGCAGCTTCTAGGGATTATGCTTTTCTCTGAAAAGCTATCAGCCTGCAGCATGTATCTGAGTTTACTAAAAGAGATTTAAGAAAATATGTTGAATTGCAAACAAAAATAGTACCAAGTGCAGGCACAGCTCAAACAGCTGCATTGCAGTAGATGTTTGCTTTGAACATCGTGACAGAATGGCATTCAACAAAACTATCCAGTGCATGCGCTCAGAAAGGATGCCAGGATGTTGCCAGCTCTTGTACTCCCACTTGCTGGGATGACAAAGACATGAGCACAATTGTCAGGCAGAAAGAAGAAATGAAGAACTGTGCCGAGGTGCTTGGAACAAAGGAACATAAAGATTTCTGTGATCAGCTTACATGTCACCAGACTATAAGGGGAGAAGAGGCACAGGAAAGAGTGAATGAACAGACTGATGAGAGCACTAGAGACACACTGAAAGATAAAGGATTGGCACTGCAGAGAGGAAAATCTCTGCACAGTACTGAAAAGAAAGGCTGAGCAATAGATTATAAAAGGATGTAGAAAAACTAAATAATATTTAAAAATAAACTTTGAAAAGCTCGAAAGGTCTTTGGGTCAAAGTCTATATCCTCCTGTATACCTTACCAAATATGACCGAGGCAGGGTCCCTGGGGCTGCAGCTACGTGGCAGACATGGGTTAAAACAATTGTGTTCCTCAGGGCCCCAGGATCTGTCAAATCTCTTGCCAGATATCCCTCTCTAATGAAGCAAAGTGTGCTGAAAAAGATTACAATGAATCAGTTTAGTTGGTTGCTTTTAAGTGAATGATAGGAGCTTAGGTTAACAGCTCTTTACGTGTTAAAACTTATCTGAGCTAACGGCTACATGCTGAATAGAAGAGGTAGGCAGGCTCCACAGCAGGACTTATCCAACCCAGTTTTTTCCCCAAAAAATTGCATTCAGGAGCCTTCAAATTGTGAAAGTACTCAAATCCCTTTGAAAACACCCAAAATCCTCACTGACAGCCTTCTACCCTTCTGCATGTCTGCTTCAGCCTGCCTAATTCAGCAGCTAGCTCCCACCCAAGTCTCAAGAGGATGCCAAATTACTCATTCATCCACCAAAGTCTTAAACAGAGACTGTTTGAACAGGTTTCATAATGCCCATAATTCACTCAGGACAAGACACTCTGTAAATACTACTTGCATTGAACTAGTGCAATTACACAGCTTCTCATTCAGAATTGGTGAATATACAAACAAAAATACCTGTACATTCAAGTCTAAGTCTGTATGTCTCTATCATTTATTGAATACAGCCTTTAAGTGAATTTAAAAATGAAAAATATCATGTTCCCATTTGTTGCTTTTTTTAAATCTTATGTGATTTTTTTTATGTTTTTTTTTTTAAATACTACATGATTTTTTTTTTCTTGGAAGGGCAGAAATGAAAAAAAGCTGATTTTAATTGAGAGCTGTGTTGTTTTGGAGTTCAACATCCTTATTTTCCTTTTTAGAGATTCTGAATTCTCATCTATTTTTTTTGGACCCATTAGCTTCTTAAAGCTTAATGGACCTATTTGCTCATTTTCTTACCTTCTTACTCTTGTCCACTTAGTTAATCTAACACCTGATTAGTGTCAGCCAAAACAATTCATTATTCTTCTTATAATTTATATGTTGATTTTAATGGTTTCCTCAATACTCTTGCAAATGTCTCCTTTATTTTTTACCTGCCTCTAGTTTTGCATGAAGCTACTTTGCTTGCTTCTTTTTCCACTAAGCTGTCACATCATCCTTAATCATGCTTTCTCCACTATCATCACCCACAAATTTTGACTCAGAAATCAAAGATCTTCTGTTAAATAGACTGTTATTTCAATCCATGATGGGTAGATACTTCATTCTCATGACTTTACTCATGCATTTGTATAACCCTCTATTATTATTGTTATATTGTTTCTGTGTAATATTTCTCCATCCTAATACTATTTTTATATAATAAATGCCATTGTCTCCTCTTTATTTACTGAGCAAAGGGCCCTTTGTTTTAACTCTGTGTTTGAGGTTGACTGTAATTTTCTTTACCCTACTCATTTTCTGATCTCTAAGGCATTTAACTCAAATCTTGTCTTTCTTTAACTGCTTGAAGGCGATCGAATTCTTCCCAAAAACCTGAGAAGTTTACTAATTTAGAAAGATACAGAGTTATTTTGTACAATATTTGAATCACAAATTTCCTGATCTTTTCTTTCTTTCCTTAAGTAAATTCCATACACCACATTCAAATCAGTTTCTGAGCTTCTTATTTCCATTTGTCTTCAGCTCAGTTTCCTTCATTCATTGTATCTCATAGTTTAGTCTGAGAATTGGACATCTTAATTATAGACCTACTTTTGTTTTCACAAAATTCAAAGAGAACTGACACATGTCAGTTTCATCTCAGGATGTTTTGTATTATCAGAACTTTTTTCACATTTCCAGTGCTTACCACACTAACTCTTGATACAAATCTATGTTCAACCATATGTTCAACAGTGAATTATAATATTAGAAAACAGAGGGAAGCCTGAACAGAAGAACATGTGACTACAGACAACCATCTATGTAGTAAACTCCACCTTCATTGGCAATTAAGATCTAACACCTAATCCTAAATAAAGAAAACACAAACACACCCTAAATAATAACAGTCTAAAATAATAAACACATCCTAACTAAAAGTATATAACATTTTTGCACCAATAAATATATTTCCAAGAGTATATGATACTAATGCACCCAATCTCTTCTTGTCCCTTATCCCACTGCACAGTGATACCAGTAGTGATGACGGCAGTAGTAATCAACAGTAATAACAGCTGTGACTCCAGTCCTTCACAGCTCCCTTTCTTTAAGCCAACAGGGTGCAGGTTTGCTCCTCATTCTGAAGCATTTATTTTACTGATATTCCACTTTTTACTGTCACACATGGCTTCAATTAATTCACCTGCAGCTTTTGCTCCTTTGACACCACATCTGCTTCGTACCACAGCCCATTCCATCATTGCGCTGCTGAAATATTTATTCAGAAAGTTGTGCAGGTGGAGGGCTGGCAAAAAGAGAAGAACAGGACCTTTTAGCTGCCCCATCAGAAAATAAGGTAGGACATAACTGGAATAGCCTAGGTGAAACACAGATTGGATCTCACCACCTTGCCTCTACATTCTACATACTAATTCAACATGGTAAAGCTGAGCTGCGGCACAGTAAAAATCTAAAAGCAATATTGAGAACATCATAGTCTAAGAGAAGCTTTTGTAAAAGCTATATTTTTATTTTTTAAAAATTAGTATTTTGGTCATTTTATGTACAAATGTAGCCTCTTTATTTTTACCCAAGAAAAATGAATATATGGACCAAGAGTCTGAATGGAATTAGAAAAAAAACTATGCAGACAAACTGTCAGTCACCAAATTACTCTATGTGACAAAGACTGTTGCAGAAAACCTTTTAACAAAGATGTAAACTCTTAAGAAACACAAGGAGTTATATTCACAAAAATATGAATCAAAATAATAATTTTTAAAACCCACACTTGATTATTTTATTTTTTTAACTGAATGAAGGAAATGCAGCTTATTTTTCTTGAAATATGGACCATAAGAGATCAGCTAATCTAGACACATAGTAAAGGCAGGACCGACAGTATTGAAACATTTCTGATACAGGATTTTTAAAAAGAAAAAGCAATAAGAAAAAACCCCATAGACACTCCTGTGCTTGAATACAATAGCAGCCTTTACCCAATGTCAAAGATTTTTCCCAATGCCAAAGGTATCTCTCTTTGCTTGAGCGCCAACCCATAAGTTTGAATTGCTGGACAAACTGCAGAAGACTAAAGGGTAATCTTCTACGGACAGATAATTAAGAGAGCACATAAAGTCAGCAACATGAAAACATAATTAAAATCACTGAAACACAGAGTGGAGTTGAATAAGTGCAGTGGGACACAGTATTGTCTCACATGAATGTCTCTGTTTTTCCCCAGACACAGAGACACTGACAATCTTCTCAGTTTCAAAGCCTGACATAAATAAATTTCTAGTAAAAACCACTCACTGGTGGACATGGGTCAGCAAGCACTGGGCTGTTTGACACCACCAGCAAAGAGCCATGAATCCCATAAAAGCTGATAAATCTAAAGGGGTACAGGAATTTAGGTCATAGCAAGAATCAATTTTCGGTTCTGCCCTGCAAGTAAATTTACTACCCCATACATCTCCAGTGATGCTACTACCTTCACATTTCAAGTTTTCATCAGGTGTATTACTTCACTTAATTGTTCTTAGCTGTTTAAAGGCCTCCAACAGGGATGTTTCACAAGGATTGTCTATACCAGCAATTGCCATTCCTGATATGAAGAAAGGTATAAAGCTTCTTTTCCTGTTCTAACTTGAAGTCAAGAGCATTTAGGGTTTGCTTTTTTTATCCCTTACAATTTCCTGTTTGAGGATCATAGAAGCTATTCACTTTATGTAATTGTTTCCTTAAATTGCTGTTTTCAATTTGCATAATGTATCATTTAAGTAAAGGTAAAGAAGCATTTCATCTTGATAATTTCTGCCACAGCTGAGATTGCAAAATTGCTTCTTGTTAGAAGGAAATTTTTAAAAAGTGCAATCACTGCAACTTTCCAGATGGCATCTAACATATTTTTCAGTCTGCTGCAATAGTATGTTATAGATATGCTTGCTATTCAGCTCAAGCTAGGAAACATTTTCTCTAGCTGAGGTAGGTCTTTTGGCCCCACGTTTTCATATTCTGTCACATTCCTTGATAATTTCCTGATTTATTAGTTCCATAGCTCTAAACATTTTCTTGTCTACAAAAAATTCTCTACAAGCTGGACTTACCAAGACACTCTATTTCTTCACTACTAATTTCTTTGCTATTAAATCTGATTAATTCTTTTCTACAGCCTTATCTAAGAATGCCATAATTTATTCAAAATGCCATTCTACATTTATCAGTAACTTCTCCTAACTTCAATTTTCTTCTATTATTAATAGCAAGAACTGATACATGCCGTACCCTATACCTCAGATACACCCATAGGTCAAAATCCTCAAAACATAAAACTTCCTCATGCCTGACACTTCTCTGGAATTAGCCTTTAAATACAGTGTTTCTGGAAATATCAAAGTCATTGTATTGAATAGTTCTGTGAAGGTCAAAATCTGTCAATTGATCTATAAACATGTATTGCTTGTACACATTTACCCACATTCACCTGAGCTTTTGACTCAGCCAAGCATATGAGTCTTCTACTTCTGTAAAGTCACTACTTACATGCCTAAACTTTGGCTCAGTGTGGCAATACCAGCACAGACATTCGACTATTTAAATAAATTTAAATTTTAAAAAAAATCATTCTTTTATAGGTGAAAAGAACATATAGATCATGGTGACTTAAACAATCCTATTGCTTAAGACTGCAAATCAGACTCAGTGCCTGCCAGAGAGAAAAAAAAAACAGAAACACAGAGTTAGCCTCAAGCTCTTCACCTGGGTTAGGAATCATTCCTATGTACCTGAATTCTCCCATTCTCCCTTTGCACTTCAAGGCAAGCAGGGTACAGATCCTTGTTGTATCTGCAGTACAGAGTCACAGGCCTATGCAGATAGGCAGCAAAGTAAAACAAGATTTGTCCTTGATTCAATCGTCTTCCTTTTCTTACATTTAGAATGCTGTATTTCTCTATCTCTCTACCACTTGCAAGTCTGCAAGCTGATGCAACCCCTCACTTGAAATTCTTTCATTAGATCAAGAGCATTAAAATGGGGCATGCATATCCCTACTTGGTTGCTATATTAATCTGTCTTTTTCCATCAGAACTGGACAAAATTTCCAAGTTTTTCATTAAAAATTTGAAAATCTTTGTTTTGTTGACTTGAAAACTTAGATGTTTTAAGGATTTCTTTTTCAATCACTCTTGTTTTCAGGCTTAATTTTAACACCAAAGAAAACAAAAATCTATGATAATGTCATCTTTTATGACATCTTTCTTGGTCAAAGTAAGCTCTATGACACATTTCAGCTTCAAAGAACTCCAGTGTTTCCTTTATGTTTAATGATTATGACATGGACTCAAGTGATCTGCAAGATCTGCAAGAAGGCAGCAAAATCAGCCACCAGCACACAAGAGTCAGGACAGATTATTGTCAGACCTGAAAGACTACAAAGAGTGCAGAGTTTATCTAGATTGTGTGCTCATCAGGCACGTGGTTAATGATTCACGAGGCTATCAGCATTTCTTAGTCTGGGTGGAAAATGCTGTGGGATGTCTCAAGTGAATTGTTGGTGTAGCCCTGCTTGGATGCAGTCAGAGACTGTGGAGTTCACATGTGGCAGCACCAGCAAGATCATCTGAGATGTCTGAAATATTAAATAGCTTCATCTCAAACTGAAGGAATGTGTTAGGCTTATTTCCTTGACAATGAAAAGCATTTGTAAAGAACCAAATTGTAATAATTCATGCAATTTTATTTTGAAAGATAGGGACTAATGGTGCACAATGCCAGTAATGGTAGCTTAATTTGGCTTCCAGCAAAGATTATTATAACCCTGTGAGGTATTTCTCTGTAAGTGCTTTTAAAAATTTGGCTTCCAACAAAAAAGTTTGCTGCATCTCTCCACAGTCCTTTAAGGAGCACAAGAACTCTTTTCTGCCCTGCTGCAGCCTGGTGCACCTATGCTATGAGGTTAAACCAGGACTGTGCCTGCTGCTTAGGCCAGCTGGCACTGAGTGATGAGTGATCTCATTTTCTCTTCTTGCCCTCCCAGTGAGGACAACTATGTATTGAGAAAACTCCCATCAGGAACTCCCACTTGTGTCCAGAAACCACTTGACTAGCTGATGCAAACCAAAACCACCCCAAAGGCTAGCTAGGGGCTTACCTTCCAGCATGGAGATAGTCAAGAAGAAACAAAATGAAAAATTAAATAAAATTATGTCTTTCACACAATCATCAGGGTTGGAAGACACCTTCAAGATATTCTAGTCCAACTCTCATCCCAGCACCACCATAATCACCACTAAACCACAATCCAGGTGTCACATTCAGCTGCCTCTTGAGCCGCTCCAGTTACAGTGACTCCACCACCTACCTGGGGAGCTTACTTCAATGTTCAGCCACTCTTTTAATGAGAAAATGTTTTAATATCTAATCTGAACCTCCCCTAGAGCAATTTAGCCTCATTTCCTCCTATATTTTCATTTGAGACATGGCAAAAAAGACCAATCTCCACCTCACTACAACCTCCTGTCAGGTAGCTCCCTCAGCCACTCCTCACAGGATTGTCCTCCAGACCCTGCACCAGTTCCATTGCCCATCTTCAGACTCACTCCAGCACCTCAATCACCTCAATGCCTTTTCTGAAGGGAAGAGCCCAGAACTGAACACAGAACTTGAGGTGTGGCCTCACCAGGGCCAGGTACACAGGAGCAAACTCTTCTGTGGCCAAACTACTTCTAATACAGGCCAGGGTGCTGTTGGCCTTCTTGGCCAACTGGGCACAGCTGGCTCACGTTCAGCCACTGTCAACCAGCACCTCCTGGTCCTTCTCACCTGGGCAGCTTTCCAGCCACTCTTCCCCCAGCCTGTAGCACTGCCTGGGATTGGTGTGACCCCACTGCTGGATCCAGCACTTGGCCAACCTCATGCAATCGGCCTTGGCCCATCAGTCCAGCTTTCCAGACCCTCTGCAGAGCCTTTGTGCCCTCCAGCAGATCAACGCCCCCACCCAATTTGGTGTTGTTTGTGAACTTACTGAGAATGTTCTCAATCCCCTCATCCAAATCATCACTAAAGATACCCAACAGAACCAGCCAAAACACTGATCCCTGAGGAGCCCTGCTAGCAACCAGCTGCTGGCTGGATGTAACATCATTCACCACCATCTCTGGGCCCAGAAATCCAGCCAGCTTTTCACACAGTGAGGAGTTTCACTGTCCAAGCTCAGGACTGCAGAGTCTAGCTACTGCACTGGGGGATGCCAGCAAAGGCTTCCAAATTAATATATAAGTGAGGTTTTTTCTCTTCTACAGCAGGTATCTGAGAGGTTTGTCTAGTTGTCTAAACAATTTATTAATAAAGTGCTTTGTGACAAAATTAACATAAACAAATTGTTCTTGCATTTATTCATAACTCAGAAAACTCCTCATAAATGTTATTTACTTCACAGACAATTTCAGTCTGATTAACTAAAGCATCCTTCTTCAGGAGAGCACTTGAGCATGTCCTCAAGTTCCACTGAATCCAATTATTAGGTTAGTTGAGGGAATCAGTTACAAAGAGAGATTGGGGTGGAGCACTGGACAAAGAAAAGCAGGAACTAAATAGCCAAGAAGGACAGAAACAGAATATGGGACAAAGCCTAAATAAAAACCAAACAAAGCAAAACCAAACAAAGAAAAGGGCTAAAAACCCAGGACTTGAGATTAAATCTGGTGGCCTTGTGCCACTGTACTTCAGCTGTTGTTGGAATCTGTACCTCACTCTCCAGCAGTTTCAGCACACACAGTAGAAAATGTCTTCTTTACTTCTCTTGTGAGTTTCTTCATGACTCCTGCAAAATTCTATATTTTATACAACTTTCCCTACAAAATTCTTTAAATAAACATGTTAGTAACATAGCACAAAGACATTTGTAACCTGAATTAAGTACTTGTGATTTCATCCAAGTTTAAAGACATTAATGTAATATGAATTTACTAATTAGTGAAAAAACCTAAATAATGGTTACAGGCAAATGAAATAGCAATGCATTTCAAGGACATAATGAATACTCATGGGAAAAAAATCCATGACAATGAATTAAGCACATGATTAAGTAATGATTTGGTTGATTTGCTCCATTTAGCATACCCCACTACTATGATAACAGAAGTAAGAGATGCTCACACTATATAATTTACTCAATGAATTTGTCTTTCATGTGAATAAGGAAACAATAAATCAAGGGCTGTGACGCAAAAAGATGCTCAGGCTCATTGCCTCTGCTCTCACTTTAAGCCCCTGTAACGTGTCCCTGCCACAGGTCATTTCTTCCCATGATTGAACAACCAGACCAGAGCCTGGGCAGGGATATAGGCTAGATAATTAACCAAAGACCTATTCTGGAGTTCAGCACACGTTCCTACATGACCAAACTTAAACGTTTTTTCAAGACTTGCATGGCATACTTGTTTAAGAAAAACACATAAAAATAATTCCCCATTGAGAACAAATTTTTATATTGTTCAAATTATGCCAATATTACCTGAGAATAGAGTTATCTTTTCCTCCCATCCGTTGTCCAGCTTTACTTCCCTGTTACCTGCCTTTCTCTCCTCCTCCCCATTCCTAGGAAAAAAATGCAGGAAGAAAGGCCTTTGCTATGGTATCAGTATGACATGGCATCTGCTTGGGTTTAAGTTCAGACTTTTACCATAGGTGTGGATGCTGGATTTTAGTGGGAGGAACCAGCACATAAAGTGTTGTGCTGGTTTTATTCCAGGGTTTGCAAGGTTCAAAGGAGAAGCTGTTGGTTTTCCTCCTCTGGGATCCCTGACTCCTTATGTTTATTTGAGAGTTAGGATGTCTCAGAAAGGGATTTCAAAGATTAGGATGCTAAAGAGGGACTGTCTGGAGGTGGCTCAAAGGAAAACTGAGAAAACAGTATATCCTAATCTTTCTTCAACCACTTCTTTGGGCTTCACGCAGGTTTACAGTGAGATATGTTTTCTCCAGGCTAAAAACTCTGGGTGGGTTGCTGCTAACAGCATTTTTTTTCCCCAGGAAACTCTGCAGGTCTCATGTTTCTAGCACACCTTCTCAATTTTTCTCTCTGGTGAGAGCATACTTCTTCCTTTCTGGTAGCATTTATATGCACTGGTTTTGCATTCCAGCAGAAAGAGCACTCAATGCCTAAGCACTTAAAAGGCATATCCAGCACAGGAACAAAAATTTTCATATGTAAGTTTTGATGTGCCTACTTACCCGGCTTTGCCCACAGACACTTCAGATAGAGAACTGAGCAATCCATTAGAGATTAGCTCTTTCCAGACCTTTCTCAGCATGTAGACACATGTATTTTTAACAAATTTCAGAATATACTAGAACAACTTCCCTGCCCATCACCTTTGCAGTATCAAAGTGGTGGCCATTTATTTTCATGTGATTCTATTCACATCCCAGAGAAGACTAATGGCTTGTATTTTAGAATGCATCTTATTGACAACAATGTTTGGAAATAAGGGCAAGATAAAACATGCATCATGTTTTGATTTAAAAAAACCTGATAGGTGGCATGATATGTAGGTGGCCACAAGTTTGATAACTAAATATATTCAGAAGCAGCAATATTGGTATCTTAGCTGCAATTATTAAAGCCCACGATGTTGCCAGGATCCTAGGCTCTTAAAATTACAGGAAAAGATGCTTCCAGTTAGAGAAATTAGGCAGATTTAACAATTACCCTCCTTGCATTGTTACATTCATAAACAGTTACAATGTTTTCTTGAATTCAGGGATAGAATTCACCACGTTTGCTCTCCAAAGGTGGCATTTTTTGTAATCTTATATGATAAATTTAAAACATAGTAAAAGGGTCTTAAAATAATGCCAGCTGTGCCAGTTCTCAGGCACAGCTCGGAGTCACACAGAGAGAATGGAAACACATCTCAAATACCTCTGTGTATAAACACCTCTGTGACCCCAGGAAATCTGGCAGGGCTCTGCTTCTGCATTCCTAAGGCATCCCAGCTTCTCGACCTTCAGCTGTCCATGTACAAAGCTGAGCTTACACACACACTGTCTCCAATGCACTGCTGTGCTTTATAGCTCACAATGAATCACATAGCACAGATGCAGTGCTGTTAGAGGAGCTGGAGGTTTAGAAAAAACACAAGCACAACTTCTAGCCTGAACTGACAGACGTAATCCATTTCCATAAAAGCAAAGACTGTTATTAAGGAGGATAAATAGAGGAATCAAAGTCAAATGCATGGTAAAAAAAGAGGCTGGTATATTGCAGCAGCAAAAACAATTCAGATAGGCCCAGACTTGTGCAAATAATCAGGCCTGTTTAACTTCCAGCTGGACACCTCTACCCTTACAAATTATCTCTTTGAGCCCCATATCAACCCCACTATAACACCTAGTCACACCTAGTCATAAAGCTGCTGTGGAGTTCCAAGGATGGTTGTGTCCCTGGGAAAAAATAGCCTTCCTATTGCTGGAATTGTGTCCATACAACCCACAGAGCATTTGGGCCTCTTCAGCTGAGTGCAGTTCCCTTCAGGGCCAAATCAGAAGGCATTCTAACACATCTATTCCATCTCTATGTACATTACCTAGTGCTAAGGCTTCCTGGAGGTATAGGTTCCTTAAACAAGGGGTCCAGAAACACTGTGAAAAACATGCAGGAAGTTATCATCTCCTGAAGCAGCAATGGAATCATACATCTCTTTTATCTTCAGATCCGGGACAGACTCCTGAAGCAAAATATCTTCTACTGTGCTTCAAGGGATCCCACAGGTCTTTTCCTTTGCTATAATGGCCCACTGGCTGTGGTTACACACAGGTTACACACACAGGTTTTTTATGTCAGCTGGGAGCTGACACCTATATACATGTTGCAAAACCGGCAGAAGACATTCAATGTCGTTTATGGGCAAGTGCTCTAATCATTAGCCTTGTAAAGGAAGGATGTAACAACACCTCCATCTGCAATCATTAAAAGAAAAAAATCAACAAAACAAAACAAAAAACCAAACAAAAACCACCAAACACCAACCCCCCCCCCCCCCAGTAGATAAAACACCAGGGAGCTCCAAGTTGTTTGTGTCATTTTGGCAGGCTCTCCCATGCTGTGAACGACACTTCAGAGTAGCTTTTTATTCAGCTTCTTGTTATCTGAAAAAGAAAACACTTCAATGCATTTTTAATGAATTTCCTGTAGTTTGAAATGAAATTTTCTCAGTTGAGAAAGTAAAAATCTCCACAGAACAAACAGAAAATGTCATTTAAGAAAAATAGCCAAAACTGCAATAATACAGTGAGTACATCTGGACACACTGCCCATCCTAGAATGCCTTTGGCAATTTGCCCCAATAGCTTCACACCTCCTAGGTTTCCAGCAAGTTTCCGTTCACACTATCCATCAGAGCTGACACATAAATTCCATCCAAAGGCTTTCATCAGCATTAAAGCACTTCAGCAGTACAGGTAAGTTCTCTATTCCTCTTAGAGACCCTCCAGCACATCTGAAAAACAAGCCTTTGATCTATAATTTCTCTAAATTTTGCTGGCTTAATCACATCAACTCACACCTTCATCTTCCCTCCCCTAACAGCATGAGGGTGCTACCAGCTCCTTCCTGCACTCAGACTGGGACTACCCTCCACCTTGTATTTGGAATTTTTCTTCCAGGCTCACTTGGCTGTGCTGAAGTTGATGCAACTTCTGTCTCTCTGTGCCTGCACTGGCTGCCCTCCTGACATGACAATTGCTAGCATAAGCTATAAAATGTCACATGAGCTACAGCCAGCCTTTTCCCAGATGCTTCTTCACTTTTATCTGGAGCTGTCATCTTGCTGGATTCCTAGAAAAATTTGGTGTTACCATTTCAGACCACTGGACAGGCTGAACAGATTTTACCTTTATATACATACCAGGTCAGAGGCTGTTCAGAACACTGATATTCAGCATTTGAGACCAAATGCTGAATTTGGTCCATTTCATTTTGGTCCAAATTCAGCATTTAAGACCATAGTTGATTGTGTCTTCTCCAGGGCCATTCCAAAAGAGCATCCAAATATAAATTTGAGAATACAAACTTGAGACTCAACCCTGCAGAAAGGAAGAAGGGAAAAGGGCAGAAGGCAGTGGTAGGCAAAAAGCCAGAACCTGACTTCCACAACCAGGTCCTCCTCAGCTGTGCTGTTGTCCTAAGAGAAGTAATAAGTACTACATATAAAAGTAAATATATTTAATGGGAATTGAGAGCTCCTATTCCCAGCTCAATATCAAATATTTCATGGGCCCACAGTAAGACCACTCAGGCAGAAAACACAAGCTCAATTCCCTTAAACTCAGACTGAAAATATATAAAACAGAAGTCTCATGCTCCTACTACCAGAAATGGATCTAATGCTCTTAAGAAGCACTAATCACACCCAGTACACAAAGAGTTATTAAAAATTAATTTAGGAAGTGTTTTTCACCCTCCCAAGTGAAGTTCCTGATAATTTTCAGCCTTCAGGTTGAATCCATCTTATACTACCAGTAGCCATAGTTCTAAATTGCATAAAACCTGACCCCAGCATCCACTGAAACTCTCCTCAGATGCTAAACAGGCCTTGCCATAACCTAACAGCAGAAATCCCCATCTAATCAATGCAAGTGACGTGAGTAAAATGTGAGAGGTGGGGTAGGTAGTATCATGCCATGTAGCGTTAAGTGGCAGCAGCAGCATGTATGACTAATTTGTGCTACAGGCTTAGAAATGACAGCCCCAGAAGCTAGGAGAAAGGGCTGTAGTCTCCCAAATCTATGATCTAGCTGTGGTTGTCAAACATAGCAGATTTCTTGGCATCAACATCTGTCCCTGAAGCAAGCAGCAATTACAGCACTTTGCAGCACTGCAAGCCATTCTGACAGCTTTCAGCTCAGCCTGCTCAGAGATTTGATGGTCCTGGCCACACTTAGCAAAATAAACTAGGATTCCCCACTCCCTGCTTTGCATGGGCCACTACTCAGACCAAAATGATTTCTCCATACATGCCTCTATACACATATTTGTTGCAAGCTATAGTTCATTTTTGCTGAAACATCAATTTTACAAGTCTGTGGCTTCTAATGTACAGAGGCTTTGCCAGGCCCAAGTAAAGAATAATAGAAAATCACTTTAGGTCATGTTAAGAAATAGAGCAGCTGATGAATGTTCAGTTGGCAGGTAAGGCAAGAAGGAAGTGCTCTCTTGGATTATCTCACAGGAATAAAAAATAAATAAATTAGATAATAAAGTGAGCATTGCTAATCTGTGTATTATTTGTTTCTGCTGCTGTGAGAGAGGCAAGGTAATTCATGTTGCTTTTAGCTTGTTGAAATAATGAGATACATCATGGCAATGATACATCAGTAACTGGTCTGCCATCTTAATAAATAATAAAGCAGATTAACATTCATCATATTGCTCATGAAACCCATCACTTTATCTATTCATATCTAAAACATCAGGTTGATGGAACCATTTAGCTAGCATCAATGTTGCAGCAATCATTTCAGGAGAATCCGTATTAAAGAGGTTTACTGTATTCCTTTCTCTTTCTGCTTCAGGCCACAATTAGAAAGACAACTGTTTAAGAACTCTCACAATTGTATTTTATTTGACATCAGCAATACACTGGAGTATAATAGGAACAATTTTTTTTGCACAATCTTTCTTGCAAGATGGATTTATTTTCCAAATACATAGATGTTCATAATACAGGAAGGTAACAGTTAAGCTGCACAATAGCAAAACAAGTTGACAGCTATCAAACCACCTTTTAAGTTTGTTAGTATAGTCAGGTGACCAGCATTGAACATATCATTCAAATAATTTAGTTAACTTCTAATTCTTCAAATCTTCCCAGCCACATTGTTCCATGCAACTAAAATGTGCACCATTAATAGTGTAAAATAATTCAACAAAAGGCTTCCCTTGCTTTGATTTCCTTTCAGTTTTTCCCCATGTATGAGCCAATACAAAGGGATAAACATCAGAATTTGGAATGGCACAGGAACTCTTGCAACATGCATCTAGGTCAGCCACATATTGCAGAAGTACTAAGTTATCAACAGAGAAGATAGACCTTCCCTACAGGGTGTGTTTAAAAAGCATTTTTACTGTGTTTGCTTTAAGTGTATTTTCTGCATGCCACTACTTTTACAGAAAAAAAATATAAAAGTACTTCCAAAAGCTTTGTATATTTCACTGGGAGTCTTCCTTGCAATGTCTAAGCCTAAACCCAGATGTTTTGGTTGCAATGGACAGGGCTTCTCAGGAAAAGAAAAGCTACAGTAAAACAAAATATCAGTAAATATCACATTTTTTATTTAAATTCTTTTCATTTTCAGCTTAAAATGACACAATATATATGACATATAGCAGCTGCTACACATCACATATAAATACTTTTTTGGGGGGGAGGTTCCTGGTACACAGATCTTAAACTTCAAGTTAGCACAGAAGTTGCTATCTCCCAATCTGGCCCTCAGCTGTGAATTTGTGAGTAGAAAGAGTCAGAGAAAGGATGCTCTCCATCATTTGTTAGATAGACTGATTTTAACAGCTCATTAAATTGCCCCAGCAGTTTGGAATATCAGGACTGGCAGAGTGCAAGGGTGGTAGATAAAGGTGAGAAAAAGGTACCCAGGGCAACTTCTAGGTGCCTTATTTACTTACTACCAGCCAGTCAATACTGTGTTTGCAGATGGACTTTTAACACACTGTCTCTGCTCTGGATGCCTGCTAGTGATGCAGCACAGAGCACAAGTTAGTCATCCAGAAAATCAGAAACCTGAAAACTTTTGTCTGTTCTACAACTGACCTGTATTTCAAGCAGCCAGACTTGGTTTATGCCACTGCACTAGCACTGGATCTTGAAGCCCACCCCTAAATCCTTACACACCATTCCTTAGGACTCTAGCCCTACTAACACTGTGCCTTCTGCTTGACTGCCAGGGTTTATCTGCCCCTGGCATGGATGCATATCCTCTCCCTGCCCAGATTCTGCTGTCCACCTGGGGGTGGAGATGTGATGCATAGAGAGCCTGTGGCCAAAGGGAAGGCATGGGAATCCCACACCATCCCAGAAACTGCTGCTCCTCACCTCAGCCACACAGCAAGGGAGCAAAGTCAGGGACAGAACCTGAATAAACCAAAAGAATGCAAAAGTAGCAGAACATGCCAAAGATTGGTTTAGATTGTTCATTTTGGAAGTTTAAGACAGCTAATGAGAAGTCCTTAAACCTAATTCAGCTCTAACATCTTACCTCAGGAAAACGCCTCAGCTGTTCTTATCCAGAACTGGGATACCTTGTCCTGCTGAACAGATTGCTCCACCACTTACAAAAACATGCTCCACACTCAGCAAGGCCAGCACTGAGTGCCCTCTTAAATGGATTGATATATTGAACCTAAAAATTCCTAGGTCTTCCACAGTTCACCCATGGCATAGCAGAGAGAAATCATGGAAGTGTACAGGGAAGCTGGTTAATTGCATATTTAGTAAGATCAACTAAGAATGTGAAGATCAAAGAAAGCCTTTTTTTCACTCACATATCTTTTCTTATCTTATTTCACTATATTCATGTATATGATAGCAAGAGAAGAAGCGAGAAGTAGCATTTTAAAACCTCTCCACAGAATCTTCCCACCTTCTGTTTATATATTGTCTCCACATTGTCCAAAGAGAAAAAATATAATCCATGTATTTATTAAATGGCTACTGAATATCCCACAGCTAAGCATCTGGTTTAGCTTAACAGAAAATCCACATACATTTCACCTTACCTTCCTAAGTGAAATGTCTACAAATAAAATTCAGATTTTCAGTACAGAGAAAATATTTTTGTATATAAAATGTTTAAAGATTTAAGTAAATATCCTCCAAATTAGAGATTTTATTTGAAAACAAAAGCTATCTTTGTGAGATAATCATAGACAGAAGTTTGCATAGAAGTGTTTCCTACCTTCCTGAAGTTTGCAATGGAGCTTATGATTTCCATGTCTGCAGGTGAGGAAGCCTCTTTTTAAAAAAAAAAGTCTAAAAATAAGAAGAATTCAGCTTGATTTTCTTCTTAATAATTACACAACAAAATGGAGAAATGTGCATAATTATGCAACAAAATAGAGCATCAAAGAGAACCCCCTTTTTCCAGTGTTTAAGCTACAGGAGAGACGGTGGGGGCATAATAATTAGACCTACAAAAAGTCAGCGCTGCAGTTCTGTCTCTGGGAAGGCCCACAAGCTGCTGGCAGGAGACTGTGGGCACTTACCTGGCAGCAGCACTAGGCATCTTCTGTTTCATTACCAGACTTGTATTTGTCACTCCCACCACTCTCCACTTCAGAGCATTTAGCAGATAGGCAAGGAGCAGACGAGGAGCAGAACACCTTGGTGCTCCTCTGGGACCTTCTGTGCTGTTGCAGTGCCCATGAGCAGTGCTGACCTGAAGGAAGTTTTCACTCTGCCCTCTTTCGTACTCCAAAAAAGCATTTTCCATCCCCCTCCCACTACTCCAAAGACCCTGTTGCACTACAGGACAGCTTGGATGCACAGCAACATGAGGGCATCCCAGATGGCAGCAGGAGCTGCCTAACATCTTTTCAGTCTTCTAGCCACAGCACCAGAGCCCTTAGGGGAGATTAACTGTGCTGATCCTCAGGCAGGATTTGCAGTTGGAGCTGAATCCCACATTGCACTCAGCTTGCTCCTACGCTGCCTGTTTGGAAAAGGGGTTTAGGGGGCATTTTCATAAGTGGCTTAATCCAATATAAGCGCTGCTCAGCCTCTGAGAGAGGCAGCCACACTCTCCTTACCCTTTCTGTCTGACCACAGACTCCCATCTTCTCCCACACGAGCAGCACAATAGCTCTCATGCACCCCCCGTGGGTACACACACACACACACACACACACACACCTTTGCCTTTTGTGGATCCATGCTCTGCAAGTGCCAGCTTGTGAATGTACATTTTCAGACATGGCAACTCTAAATGCAGGTGCAGCCCACACACTGTAGCACTGACTGGATTATCAGAAATGCTCAGCACCAAACAGCTCCCGTTAATTCAGGTACAAGAATGAAGTTTTCAGATTTAGTAGGAAAGCATGATACTTTAAAAAAAACCTGGTTGGTACTGTGATGAAAGCTGTTTTCTTCACCCACAACCCCTCTGATAACTGAATTAAATCAGAAACAGCATGCTCTCTATTTAGTCTCTTAAACATAAAGCAAGTTAAATGCTAAACATTCCAAAGTGCTTCATTACTGAAAATTAAATGTATAGAGCACCAGAAAAATATTTTTTTTTAATGTTACTGTTTACATTTTTGGTTGAGAAATGTTCTAAAACAAAGGGAAGCAGTAAAACTTAATAAAACTCATTCTTTTCCCTTTCCTATTCTGTCTCCTAATTCTTCCTGACTGACAAAGAAAATACCATTTTTGCAAACAGCTTCAATGGAACACAAATGTTTATAATAGGACATTAGACACTTTTCTTTAATACTTTCTCATTATACTTATAATGAAGGAATAATTATTTCTAGGCTGTTTCCTGCCAGATGCAGTTCTAGTACCTCTAATAGGACATATCTTAAAATAACTGCTTGGTAGCAAGAATTAATTTTTTCATCCATACTCATGTTTCCCCTTCTCTCCTTTTCTCTCTCTTCAAATAACTTCATTGATTTGTGTCTTTCAAAAATTCTGGCCTCTTTTTTTGTTGTTTTTTTTTAGTCCATGACTTGTCATTGATATAATACACAAAATCACCTCTGTAGAGGAAAAATTACCACAGGGGCACAGGAGGTTTGAGAAAGCCTGAGAGAGCCTCTGTTTTAATGACAGTGGAGGGAAGGGGAGAATCCTCAGGCTGTGGTTTCAACCATCATTAACCCAGCTCAAAGCATCAATCCAGGCTCTCCACACCCTCCTTTGTAACAGCACTGAGATGGGAGCCAGATCAGACAGATCCCACTACTACCAACCAGCCAAAAGGAAACAAGACAAAATTGGGGGTTTAGTTCAGCCTGCTTCCCCACAAACACTGAAATTCTTCCTCACACACAAAGCAAGGCAATAAAGAAGAAGGTGAGAGTGCTACATTCAGCAGTAATGTACACTTATGGTGTAGTCTCAAAAAAAGCTTGCAAAAAGCTCGTGGATTCTGCTTGTAGCCTCTCTGGTGCAGACTGCTCCAGAAGATGGCAGAACATAAGCCAGCTCCAATTCAGAAGCCTCTAAGAAAAAACATGCCCTGAGTCCTGCCTTGCCCAATGTGCTTCATCAGCCCTTCAAACATGGGTTAAGTATTCAAGACCAGAATTTTTCACAGGTGGATTATTTTTTACCACAAAAGCACTGCTGGTATTGATTTGCAAAGGCATGTATCTATGAAACAAATATTTTAAAGTGATTGCTCAAGAGCTCTGGTTATCTGAAACACCTCAAATCTCCACCACTCCTCTGGTGATAGAGAATGTTGCCACAAATTAACAAAAAAAAATGAAATACATGTACATACAGAATCATCTACTTACGAAAGGTTCATTTGATAACCTGGCACATCCTAACAGAAAAGGAGATTTTCAAGCTTGCAAATATAAAGCATACTGTGACATTACTCTAAGTAATAAGGTTAGATATCTTATATTTCAAAATAACTTTGAAGAAGTACTTGTAGACATTCTTTACTTCTGAGACCTCCATCCTCATAGCAGTTTTACTTACCATGGAGATGAGCCACCAGCACAAGATGATGATGCAAGACAAAGCAGTACTCAACTAATTTTTTCAATGTATTGAGCTCAGAAGTAGAGCTGAGTGTTTCATACTGTCATCTGCTTCTTCTACCAAACTCCAGTTAAGTATTTTCCAAGGATGAAAACATATTCACAATCAATGGTTTCCTTTAGTGTTTCTTTATGTCATCAGATCATCCACAGACTGCTGTCAGTTAACAGCAACCTGGATACTGCATTCACAAAAACACTAAGCAAATGTTGGCACAACAGCAAGATGACCAGCAGGAAATAACCCAGATTTCATGCTACTTGAAGATTAATTCAGTAATGTCACACTTTTCCTCCAGATCTTTTTCTTGAAAACAGGTATATGAAGATAGTGATAAAAAAATACCTACCTCACATGGTGTGTTCCATCCAGAAAGGTACTCTTTCAATATAGAACTATTAGCAAGTGCATCTTGACTCTGCTTCCTTAAAATTCAGGGAAATTATATTATTTCAAGGAATATATATATATATACATATATATATATATATGTACCCAGGCTGCAACAGCATTAGTATTTTTAAATGCTAGAACTACACTATATTTTTTAGAACCATTCAAAAATTGATGGGAGTTTGGAGGGTTTTCTTAAAAAGGGAATCACCAAGGCTTTTGTTTTGCCAGTGTTATTTTTATTTTGAAAAAGCCATCATGCTCTCCATTCCTCTTGCACAAGAAAATGAAACTAGAATTATGACCAAAAATATGGTGAACTGCAATGGATATTAACTGGCTTTCTTTGAAATCCTTTCCAGTGGAATAATACAAAAAGCATGAGAAAGCCTAAGAGATTCTTTTAGATGCAATAAGTTATGGACTAGAAGACAATGCTATTTAATTCTGAAATAAATACCTACCAATTTCTAACTCATATGAAAACAAATTATATTTTGCAAATTCTATCAATTTTACAATAATTGCATTTTTCATTCCCTCCAGTTAACACAGAATATAACATTAGCAAAGAGAGATCTTTACAGGGTGCTCTGTACTTCGCACTACTCTCACTTGCCTGGGATGTGGCAAAAATTTACTTTCAGAGTCTGATTTACTCAGAACACACTGAAACTCTCCCCACATTCACATTCTCCAAAATAGCTACATCTTGACTCTGAGGAGAGGCCTACAAATGAGGACGGTACAAATTAACGCATATCAGACGCTTTCAAAATGGCACATTTTTCCTTCCAGTAAACTTCCCTTTTAAAGTGCACTGAAGAAAATGAAAAACACATATTCGTGCCAGTGGATACCAGTAGAGATTCTTAAAAAAATGTAAACTCACCTTGGAAGCCCAAAGTGAAAGAAATGCAGGATCTTGAAAAAAAAACTAAATAGTTTTAAAAGATGCTACTGTCATTTAACTTAATTTTTTTTCTTGGATTTTTCCCCGTTTTTTTGGGGGTTGATGTCTGGTGGTTAATACTGATCCCCATAATGCTATTTGCCTCTCAGATTTTCATTGAGTATGAAATTTATTTATGCAGTTTTGTTCTACCACATATAAATAGAGCAGCAATAAAGCTTATGCTTTATTGCTTTACTTCTGTCAGAGTATGAAGGGAAGCATCTCCTTTTCTTCCCACTTTAGCACTGACCTGCTGCAAACTCACTGCTGTACAGCCCTGAAGTTCTGTAAGACTTCTACAACTCTGATCATCCTTGGCTTGATCAATATCATCAGCAGATGTTATACTAAACCTGGGCTTCTCAACACTACAGCTGCTTTTTTTCTAATCTATTTTTCAATATTAGAATTCAAGAAAAAACAAAGGTGGGTTTTTGGCAGCCGTCTGTATTGCAATTCATAACCAGTGCTAGCCACACAGACCCCTTCTATTTTAGTGAGGTCAAGCCGTCAAGTTGGCAAGTCCCAGGAAGGCAAGGAACTCACCAAAATTTCTTTCCACCTTCCAAGTTAAGCAAAAGTTATAAGAAGTGTGCAAAGCCCATGATCTATTCTGCTACTTAAGCAGAGCTCTGGCAACTCTTGGGATTTGTATGTGTAGTGTGCTGCTATAGCACACTGAAAAAGGGTCTCCTAATGAATCTGTAGGATCTATGGGAAAATGTCCCAGACGGTCAATGTGTGTCCCTTACAAAGCCTGTGCGTCATTTCTCCCATTCTGGCCTTCCCTACACTTCTAACAGCACAAGGAATATGGAAAGTCAGGCTTTGGATAAATTGGAAAAACAGATACTGCATACTCTGACAGTCTCACGTGGCACACAGACAATGAGCTACAGCATTAAGGGACACAGAGGCCAAATGACACTCAGGAGGTGCACAGTACAGTGGAAGAAGATGGAATTCTGGGCATATAGAAAAGCTGAGTTCATTCAAATTTTGGTAGAAATACTGGTTAATCCTATTAAATACATTTACTTGGTTTTGCTGTTTCTGGGTAAGGTCCATTCTGAATGTTGAAGATGATAAGATGCCAAAGGCTACACTTGAACACCCTGTAATCAATAACTCTCAGCTCCTGTTAACAGAAGAGCTCTAATCACATTCCCTATTAAACTATTTACCTCTTTCCTTCAATTATCATCCAGTTTACTTGCCTGATGAAAGGGTAATGTAGATTGGATAACTAAGTAGTTTAAAGTCTTTTTTCCCCTTCAAAGACACATGGGAGAAGAAATGTGCTACCAACATCCATTTAATGGACACAAGTCCATTTTAATAGGAGGAAAAACAGATTCCAGTACTGCTGGTGAGCTCCAAGAGTTCAGGTCACCTTGAAGGGCTGGGGGCTAAGCTGGCAACCTTTCTCATCTTCATTATTTTCAGTTGCAGTGAAACCCATTAACAGTGGGCTCACAATTGACTACAGACCACACGTCAGTTCCTGTGAAGGCAATCTTCCTGAAACAAATTTTAACTGTTTTTCTCAAGTGGCTGCATTAGTGGTCAGGGCTGCATCACTGCAATCTGTGGGAGTTTTGTTGCTGGTAACAATGTCTCTGAGGAAATATCAGCGGAGAACTACCTCTGTTTCCTTGTAAAGATTTTTGTCTTTCTCTCCAGTTTCCTTTCCTGGTTGATAGATGTGAACTTATCTGAAGTGTTTGGTTAGTTTTAAACCATTATGATACCGTCAAAAAAAAGATTGTTCAACAAAGCCAATAGAAAAAAAAGAACAAGAACAAAAACCTAAAAATATAGCTCCTGTAGAGTTCATCTCACTGAACCTCATCTCTAATAAGCTGTTCGGTCACTGAAATGACATCTGCAATGTTCTCCCTTAGGATTTTAGTTAGCAGAAGATTTGGGCTGCTATATTAAGCATATATCTCCTTTTGTGCTTTCAAGTTATGGTATCACTGGTATATTGCAGTGCTCTTTTTTGTTTTATTGTCTCTGATCATCCAGGGAAATTAAAAATAATGAAAACAACTGTTAAAAATAAATTCCTATTTACATTGTCCACATGTAATTTGGAAAGGTAATTATGGCAATTTCTTCATATGCTGCAACATAAAAATGTAGTAAAGTTCAATAAATTAGTCCTAGACTCATCATGATTTTTTTAATGTACTTCATTTTGAATTTAGGCATAGAAGTTTTGGAAATTTTGGTACTTCAGAAATGCACTGGATATTTAAAGTAGGTAACTTTTTCTGTGGTATCATTAAAAATTTCTCCCAAAATGGAAGCATAGAAATAAATACTTGTAGTTTATTATTTTTGCAGTCCTTTTTCCTCCTTTTAAGTCTTTAAGCAGAAACTACAAGTGAATTGAAGCAGCACATTTAGATCAATCTTAGCTTGAACTAGTGTTGATCCCACTGAACAATGCACTAGAAAAAGCTGATTATAAAATCACTATACAGGGACGGGTGGAAAGAACAGGCAACTGCTTCTAAAGAATTGTTTAAAGTTCTGCCTGTGAGAGAACATCCTTGGTTTTCATCACAGAAAAAAAGCAAAGAGTAATTTCATTAACTTCTGGTGCAAATACTAAGTTCTCCACACAGCAGGTTGCCATTCTTCATGCAAGACGTATTTTATCACCTGCGCAATTATAACCAATAATTGCCAGAGGTTTTGCTTTGTTTATTCTGGTTTAACCAAATAAACAATCCCTTGCATACCATCTTCTATTCCAACAATTTGTAACAATGTGACCTAATTAGAGAGGAAACAGCCACAGCAACTAGCAGTGCATCCAAAGATACGAAGTACTGCAGTTGGACATCATGCGCGGGTGCTCCATTTCCAGTTCTCCATTATGCCACACAATGTTTTCCTAATGAGTGCTGTAGTCTCAACCATCTTCCAGATGTAGAAGATGAAAAAGGAAAGAACCATACCTGGCCCTTTGAGAGCATCCCTTAAGTAAAAGAAAGACTTAGGCAACTGATTATATCACTCTGTTATAATAAAGCTACATAAGACATTTCCACTGCATTCTATCATCTACAGTTCATTATTACACATGAAAGAACCATCTGGGATCCATACTGCACACTGCAGTATCTCTTGCCAGGTATCTCCCAGGTCCCACAATTCAAAGGTCAGATTCTCAGCCATGAGCTGGCTAAAAGGCTTGGAGAGACAGAGGCACAGTCATAGTTTCACCATTACGGGGCTTTTTACCCTGACTCTTGTCCCAGCATCGTCTAGGGCAGTCTTATGCCTCCCTTTTGTTGCCAGCAGCTTGTGGTCTCCAGAAGTCCCTTGGTCATTCTCTGGGCACAGAACCACTGAACACTCACCTGATCTGCCCTGCAGCACAAGACTTTAACAATAGGCTACCAATCTCCTATCCAGTCAGCTGAAGCTAAGGATTAGTCCAGACCCTTTAAAGGCACAGCCAGAGCATAGCTGAGAATTTGGCCCTTGATTCTCACTTGTCACCTGCACAGAAACACTAACCATTTGCCAAGCCAGACAGTTCTGTACAAACATTTCTTTTATTTACTGGCAATTTGTTTTCTATCTGTTGTAGTGAAAATAATGTTTATGATTAGGATTTCTATCAGGTTTAACTATTCAACTCTTTAATAATGTTGCCTGCTTGCATACTGCAATTTCGTAAGAAAAGCACCTATCTATGCCACAGTTTAAAGTGAACAAATGGATAGTAAATTAACATTTTTAGCCTGGGATCCACCTAGAAAGTTTACTTTCTTATTTATACCACAGCAGTCCTTCTCAAAAAGAGTGTCTTTCATTCACTCAGTGACATGCCACACTCATCTATGCACAGGAAATGGGGCTTTTTTTGCTTAATTTTCAAGCCACTTTTAAAACTGTGTTGAAAATTTAACTTGACACAAATATTACATAAGGAGGTGGAGGGGGGAATGGAATATGTGTTTAAAGGAAATCAGGAGTGTAACTGAAAAGTATGGGGGGAAAAAACAAACCAAAACGCAAAGCATCCAAAGAAAAAGCAAAGAATTTCAATGAAAAAGTTGAACATTGTGGTCTGGTCCTCATCTACTACAATTGATGTAATTTAGGAATAAATCCACTCAAGCTGGTCAGCAAGGTCAAAGAAGAATCACCCACTTAAGATCACCTTACCAAACAAGAAAATCCAATTTTGAGAATTACATCAGATTTCAGATTTTACAAGGTTCACTCATTCTTAGTTTGGTGTGAGAATTTCCCAGGTTACAATGCAAAATAATGCTTAGTAAAAATATACGGAGCTCTACAACTCCTTTGCATAACTTTCCTGGAGTTGCACTCTCCCAGGCTGGACTCTCTTCCCTTTTGCTGCAATTGATTTTCTTCCCCCCTATTCTGTCGATTTTAATCTAGCAGGGAAAGTCCTTTTCTAGCAAGCACTGTCAAAATATACAGGACATAGATCTCACACTCAGAGAATGCAATGCTGTGTCCAGACAGCAGTGCTGGGTGCCTCAGGCATTTGTGATAGCCAACATGCATATTCCTAGCAGTCAGATGTGTTCCACTGCACAGCTGTACACCTCTGCCTCTGATTTCTTTCAGGTGCATGTTCCTCCCAATTGCAAGTTCTGTGCAGCCAGAGTAGCTTAAATCAAGCAAGTGTTGGTTCATTGCTGGCTGAAGGGAGGAAGACCCATTACTGTTACCCATTACTCTGTTAAGAGTTAACAAATTATCCCCAATAACTCCAGCCTTTAGAACGGGAAAGTACCACACAGCTTTTATAAATAAGAATTACTGACCTTTTTAAATAGTTTCAAAAGAAGAAACTCTGCATCAAATGTGAGTATAATTTAGGAACTACTACATAGCAGCAAAACTACATTAGACTTTCTGATTTTTCCATGGTATCCTTGGATAGATACACCACCCAGTAGACCATGTTAAATGCTCCAAAGGTAACAGGAAATAAAATGCGTGCATATTTGTCTATCTTACTCGTGCCAGAGTGGGAGGCGGGGGGAGGAGTTGGTGTGACAGCAGATGGCTTTGCAGATGCTCCTAATGTATTAGGTGTGGTGGTCTGAATCTGCTCCAGTCTAGATCCAAGCAAGTGCTGAATGGAAGGGGATCCAGCTGTGGCATGCTGGGATACAAATCCAGTTAAAATTGGGGTAGAAGGAGGAGCTGGAGGGGTAGCTCTTGCAGAGGATAATGTCTCCGATGCGTTGATTCGTGTGAAAGGGTTGGGACTTGATGCAGAAAGGGAGTGGGGGGTAATGTCAGAAGACCCCTGAGCTACAGAGGGAGGCTGGACAGAGCTGTGCCTTGTGTCGATTCGGCTCCCACCATCAGCTTCAGACTGTACTGTGGCATTTGTTCTTTTCCTCACATTTGAATTGGCATCTGTACTCTGCAAAGTTACAAAAAAAATACTTGTCATTCTTAAAATAAACACTCAAACAAAAGCGATGGAAACTATAATCAAGCACTATCCAAGTAATACTCACAAATATAACCATAGCTGATCCTGAAGAACAAAGATACCAAAAAAATGATGAAAATGGATTTAATAGCATATAAAGTGACAAACAAGAATTCCTTTTACCTGTGGCTGGAATACCAGAGTGAAGTCATCACACTCCATGTGGTGCAGTACCTATACAAACTGAATACCATGAAGCTAAGGATTCTCAGGCTAGAGTCACAGCTTTTTCCAGGCTCAAGCTCAAAACAAGATTCCCCAATGTCACCTCTTTCTCTGATGATATAAAAACATTGTAGATGCAATTTTCCAGCCATGAAGGTTTATTTATTCTATATATCTCCATAACTACCATATACTAGGAACTCTAGTCTTCTACAGAAGAGACTGTTAAAATGCAAGTATTCAGCAAACCAAGTTGCCACATTGCTGTTCTTTCAGAAATAAAGCCAGTGCTTTTTCACATCAACCATAGGCAATAAATTAACCAAGCACAACTGAACCAGGGAGCAAATTACTCTCTCATCAACTACTCCTCTCCGTTCATTAGGTAAGAGAAGTGGTGAATTCTCCATCACTTGGTGTCTTCAGGCAAGTCTGGATGTCTTTCTGAAAGATATTCTTCAATGAAATAGTACTTATTAGGCTGCATGAGAAACCAAAATACAGATAAGGAAGTACAGGAATAGAAAATCCATCAGAGTTTAACATTCTGACTTTTGGGAGTAGGACTTGGCTTCTGCCTTTATTCTCTGCACTTAAGAGGAAGACTAACATGTCCTGAACTTCTTTCTGGAAAGGTATTTAAAGACTTCTGACCTTCAGCAATGCACCTAAACATGACGTAAAACATATAATACTTTAGATATAATATGTGAATATCTTCTAATTAAGAAACTAACTGATTTCCAGAAGACAAAGACTTGAGGACAGATAGAGTACATAGGTCTAAATACAGACAAGATGAAACAACCACTAGTTATATATAAAAAGTCCTATGTTTTATGCCTCTCTGATGATTCCCAAGCATTGCCCTGCACCATACCAACTGTGCCTTTGGCTCCCCTTCCCTCCAGCCTTCCCAGAGAACCCTGCCAAAGCTCACAGCAGAACTCAAAGGGAGAGAAAGCAGGCAGCAATGTCTTTCCTCCTTCATCCAACAGCAGCTCTCTCCAGCCAAGTGACAGAGCAGTAACAGAGACTAGGTTAGGTGTTATTCAAGGTACTAGCAGTACCTTGAGTAGTGACAAGAGTGACACTGTGTCTGTCTGCTACACCAATTGTGCTTTCACTGTTCTGCTCAAGGAAACTGAGAAATTGAAGCTAAAAAGAAATCTAAAAAAAAAACTTAAAAAAAAAATCAAATCACTTGATAGTATTCCCATCATGACCAGAATGCTGGTCCCTAATCCTGTTAATTGCAGTACAAATCTGTCACTGGCAATACTGTTGGCCTGAATTTATCTGAAACTGTCACAGCTTTATGCCTATTCATGTCTGATGTATTTGCCAGCTCACAGTTGATATATCAAAGAATCCCTCTTAAATTTCAGTTTTCCTTCCTGCATAGAAGCATGTCAATCCCTTTTATTTATTATTCTGCATCTGCAATCCAAAGAGGCAGAGGACTAGAAGAAACACAAGAAGCTGGTTTTTCCTAAAGAAACACTAATTTACTGTTTGATAGAGAAGCCCAAGTCACTCTTTGGGAAGTGCAGAAGTACACACAGATGTGAAATTTGGATACTTTCATACTAGGGTTGTCAATGACCCAGGAACAGTAAAGCCATTTTCAAGACTGCTAGATTGAAATGATAAAGTACAATCAGGACAGGGGTACATTTTCTAGAGACTTAGTAATACCTGGTGGAGTGCTGCATGTCACTTGAAGGCTTGCAAAACTAAGCAGATGGAAGTTATCAATGCTCACTCTGTGAGCAAAAAAACATCTCTGTGCCATGGAGAAGCTGGCACTATCAATGAGAGGAGGTGAGTTTTATCTTTTATATGCAGATCCTTGGACAACCTGGCTTGCTCAAGTGTCACCCACTGTAAAGCTCTCAAGCAGTGCCTAGGAAGCAAAAATTCACAGGCTGGGGCAGGGGTTGCAAAGTACATCTGCACTGGGACCAAGATACGTCTCAGCTCCTTCCTGTTCTCTACCTACATTAGACAAGTAGCTTAGAAGTGCTGCTGCTGCTGCTGGAGAATGGAATAACCACACCTTCAGTCACTCCACATGCAACCAAAAAGAATAGTTCAAAGAGCAATACAATAAATTAGGTGCCATTAATTTACAGAGGCACCATTTTATGTTCTTGCTCACTTGTACTGTCACCTCTTTTCAATGACCATCTCAGTGTATTTCCCTTTTGAGCACCATCATCTACAGACACAGGTAAGACAGACAGGCAACAGTCAGGTTCCTCACATTCCAGTCATCTCCATTTCTTTTGTAGGAACTTGTTTCCATCAATATATCTGCATAATACCTCATCTTCCTCCCCAGTTCAACTGTCATCTAAATGACCAAATCAGACCTGTTGCTATTGTATTCACCACTTATTTTCCATTACAGTCTCTATTCTAGAATAAAATTATCTATACTATTTCAAATGGTCAAAATGTGTGTCTGTGTAAAACCCTACTGGGCATTTGCTTTCTTGTTACTGACACAGGAAACTTCCAACACTTCAGAAACCTTAATTTTAGAGAGAAACACAATTTTCTCATAACATACACATAAATGTACACATAAAGCCTGAATACACAACACTGTAAGATCTAAAATAACACGGCATAACAAGCACCAAAAATGTGGGATCATTTTTTGTTAATTCCCTGGAAACCACCTTCCAATCACTCAGAGCATGGAAATCAGAAATGGCATTTCTAACATGCTCCACAGACGGTGTATCACAGACACCCGGTTGTTCTTGCAGAATGTCATTGCAATAGTTTGTATTTGTGTTCTTGAGCAGAATCTTGCTCTTGAAAGGTACTGAAACAAGCATGCTTCCTGGAGCACCACAGCCATGCCTTGTCAAAGCTGAGCAGAATGCACTCTCCTTGTCAGGGTGGCCTCAACAGCACATTGACCATCATTTATCCTTCCCTTGCACTTGTTTTACTCGAGATAATATCATGACAATAGTTCCTTCTCCTCATTTAAAGCACTCAGGTATCCCTCCTTGTTGAGTTGCCCGCTTAAAAAATATCTTCCAAAAATTCTTATTACTGGCTTTATACATAGGGCTCTTCTATATTTCTCTATTCAACACTGCAAAGATAACTCAGTTCTTCCTACTAAAATAACATTTCTCCTCTGTACAGAAGCTATCTCACAACTCTACATCATCTGAAGATTAGTGACAAAGCCACTAATAAAAATATCAAAAAAGCCTGATTCTGTAGCAAGCCTCAATGACTCAAATTCTGTTGTAAAACATAGTAAAATACAATGCTCAGTTTGTGTTAGAAAAACATTCCACAGTCATTTCAGTTATGGTATATACCCCTAGTAAAAGGGTAATGTGATAATGACAATCTGACCAACAAAACTATAAACGTATGCAAACACTTGCTACCTCCCAAAATTATTTTACTTTATCCTTTTTAAAACAATAGCCCAAAACACAAAATTGCCTTTTAGTTTGGGAGCACTGACTAGGTTTGGATGGCAAGGTTTGCATGACCTAGGGGCCACAGGGGTGGATTCTGTGAGAAGCTGCCAGAAACTTCTCCTGTGTCTGACAAACATGCACCTGCAGCCCATGGAGGCCCCCATGCCAGAGTGTGGAGCAGCCTGGTTTGAAGGACTGCACTCCATGGAAGGGACCTACACTGCAGCAGCTCATGAAAACTGCAGAGCCTGGGAAGGACTCACACTGGAAAAGTTCATGGAGGACTGTCTGCCCCAGGAGGGTCCTCACACTAGAGCAAGACAAGAGTGTGAAGATTCTTACTCCTGAGGAAGAAGGAGTAACAGAGATAAATTGTAATGAACTGACTGTAACTACAATTTCCCATCCCCCTGAACCACTCTAGGGCAGGAGATAAATTCAGGAGTAAAATTAAGCACAGGAAGAAGGCTTCAGGGAAGATATTTTAAAATTTAGTTTTTGTTTTCTCATTGCCCTACTCTGCTTTGACTAGTAATAAATTAAACTAATTTTCCCCAAGTTGAGTCTTTTTTGCCCATGATGGTAATTGGTGAGGGATCTCTCCTTGTCCTTATCTGGACCTATGAGCTTTTTGTTGTATTTTCTCTACCCTGCTCAGTTTAGGAGAGGAGTGATGGAGCATCTCTGGTGGGCACCTGGTGTTCAGCCAGGGTCAACCCATCACAGGAATATAAACAAGAAACATAACATGAAAATCAAATAGGAGCCAAATGAAAATTCAAGCCAAGAAAGGAAGGGCTTATCCAAAAGTAAGGATTCTTTTACAAGGGCAAGTCAGGAAAGCACTCAATTGTCCTGAGCCAACAAGACTGCCGTGCTAGTCCAGACGGGGCTCCACAGGAAACACCGAGGGCACATTTTTCACATTCTCACTCTGGATTAAGAAAGGTTCTGATTTTCTGGAGATATTTCAGTAAGACTTTTGGGAGACATTTAAAATTGCGTATCTCAGGAATGCAAATGGGAGCCTGGAAACTACCGTAACATCCAGTCTATTCCACTGTGCAGTGCCAGGCTTAAGAGATCTGAGAAAGATTGCCTGTCTATAAAACAACAAATTCTGCTTAGGTAAATGCTGCTTCACCTTTTCTTTGAAACAGTCTATCCACCTGATAGGTCCAATCAATTGGTACAACCAATTCCACACACACCAGAAACTCTGATCACCACCAAATCAGAAGTTGTAAGTGCTTTGCTCTGATAAATCCCCCTTCAAGAGGAAACTTTCTTGCTATAGATCCTGTC